AAGTATTTCTTTAGTTGTATGAGATCTGATGTGCCTAAAGATTAACCTATTGTATGATGTTTTTTTTGATCACACACATATGTGCCACTTGTGTGAGTGTGAAATACCAGGTCCCCTCACCAGCAGATCCAGCTTATACAGACAGAGGCAGCTGTTTTCTTAAGAGTAGTGCGAGGTCTGCACAAGTGAAGTATGGCAATAATATTGTTGGAGGAAGCTTATCCTTCAAGTTTCTTGACTTCTCTCTGCTATGTTCTCAAATGTATTGTTGCATTTGTTGCATTTTTCCTGTTGTTTCTCCATGAAGAGGAGAATGGTTTTAATGCTATGTGTGGAGACATCTTTCCTGCCTGGCAACTTTACTGTGTAATAAAAGGTGGAGCAGTACTGAAGTCTCGAGCCATTAGATGATGCTGTTGGTGATCTGAACAGTTCCAAAGATATGAACGCTTTTGTGTTTCTAGCAAAGAATGAAGTTTCACACAAGAATGTTATGAAGAGGTGCTCTTGGAGGAACCCAGAGTTTTATTATGTTGAGACAATATGCTAAAGAAGGTACAGCCATTAGGCAAGAAATACAGCTAGAACGATGCAGAACAATAAAGAGACTTCTAGCTCAGCAATATTAAAATGTAAATATTAAAAATATAAATGATAGAATATTAAATATGTAAAATATGTAAACTTATGAGAATTTTGTTTTCTTACCTCTGTACCTGGAGGGATGTTTTTCTAACGAATCCAGATTTTCTTATCTAACAGTTCATACTTATTTTCTTATGCAACAGCTGCTGATAGATTGTATGGATTAAAGGATCAAATGCTATGGAACAGATAAATAAATACATTTTCTTTTGTGTGGGATCAAAGATTTGCAGTTTCATGTCAAAGGACATTTCGACTGAGTAACAACAATAGTCATTACCTGTTATGTACTGTCTGCTAAAGTCACCACCTCAGAAACCCCAAACAAACAAGGAACAACAAAAAGCTTTTACAAAATAGTATTATTGGAAGGTATTTTTTGCAGTTAAGAATTGTTTTTCTGTTGTAAATTATATGTTCAATTAAATTTGTTAAAGATACCAATTTCAAAAATAATTATTAATTTTAATAAGAAGACTGGTAGATTTTTTTTTTTTGGGGTCAGCATTTTAAAACTAAATACTGAATTTTGCTACTGTGTTGTTACAGAATATACATCTGGAAGGAATTTTTAGCAATTATTTATTAACGTGTAGTATAAAATCTGAATGAATTAGATTTCACACTTGTGTCCTGATGTTCATGAAGACCATAAGAAGACTACTCTTGCAGTACATTGCTCTTTCTTGCCATCTTCTGCCTCCTGTATTTCTCACATTTGAAGGAAAGTTTCTGTGAAGCTTCTTTATTCTGAAATATATGTCCAGTGTTAAGTACTGGAATGTTTTTCTCTATGTTTTTGTTGTAATACTTTGTTCTGTTTTTGCCCCCTTTGTCTTTGGAGGCTGGGTGGGAGAGGAAACCTCCTCTTTGTGGTTATGCAATGACCTCAGTAGTAAAATTAGCTGAATTTTGGGGCGAATAATGAAAAATGGTGTGGATGTGTACACATATTTCTCTTACATAGTAGCCTGGCTGCTTTCTGTTGGAGGTCTCCAAGCATTTATGTTACAAGTTGTTACGAAGTCTTTAACCTAACCTTTCGGTGCTTGTTTATGTTGAGGAGTATTTAATAGGCTTACGTTTTCCTTGCATCTGATGAAAATGTGATGTATAGCCTGGAAGTTAAGGAGTGAACTTGGAACACATCCATAGTTTTTTTAGTTCTTGCTCCAGAGAATACTTAATATACTTTTGTATAAGGCAAATAATACTTCTGTATAAGGGAAAACTGTTGAGAGGGATTTGCTGCTGCTGCCATTATAGAACAACCAGAGATACAGAGATACTGGCATTTCTCAAAAAGATGGAAAAGATGGTTCAAACCTTGCAAAAGGATTATTGTGAATGACACCTGCCGTGGGCTGGGTAAGATTCTTTCTGCTCTGTGAATTCTGCAACTGTTTTCTCCAATTTCATTCCTGCTATAGATAAAATGCGAGGATTTCTCCAGTAATGCAGAGTATGACATGTAAGATAAACACTTAGTTTTGAACCCCTCATGGTAAAAAGGCCAGTCTTACACTGGTGCTGAAAATAAAAAAATCTGTAAATAAGTGCTACATATTTATAAGTAAATTAAATCTCTGACTTAAGTTTTGCATAGTTGCTAGTACATTCATCTACCTCTTGGTGCACACAGAAGGTCAAAACATCATCGTATTAATACACTTCGTAAATGTCACATGAGATCAAGAAAATTCAGATGGAGACTGTCTAATTGGAAAACAACAGGAAGAGATGCAGTGCTTGCTGTTATCTTCCTTTTCCACATTCGTAAAGAGACGGAGTTTTAAGTCCTGCTGTAGTGGAAGAGAACTGAATTTAGTTTCCATGGTTCCATTTTTTTAATAGAATATTTGATGTAATAAGAAATCTACCTACAGACCTCTCCATTATTCAATTGCATTCTTTAAGATGGTTATTATACAAATTCCCGAATGTCTTCAGTTGTTTTTATGCATTTTAAGTGAGGAGCTGTGAATTAAATCATATGTGTAATCCAGTAATGTGGCCAAAAGTATTATGTTTCTCCAGTATTTTGCCTAATTCTTTTGATGCAATTTTCTCATCTTACTCAATACTACAAAGGTTTTTTTAAGCAGGTTAGTAAAACATAAAAATAAAACAAATAAAACACCCCCTCCCCCTTGCTACTTCTGCCAAGTTTTTAATTAACATAAAGCACTAAGTATAAATGCATCATGATTGTAATGAGGGAGAATAGATTATTTGGCTTCTTAGGTTTTTCTCTTGCTACATCCTCACTAGAATGTGCCTGTATGAAGTCACTGTTTTTAGTGGGGGAGTTGGTTGATTTATGCAGTTACAAGCAGAGATATTTGTGTCCAAATGGAATATTATCACGATTCAGTGATATTCCTGTTCAAATGGAATATTATTACAATAACTGTTAGTTAAGTTGAATTTTATCCATTTCTAGGCTTGAATATGATCTTAGAGTAAAAATATCCACTTCACCAAAACAGTATTTTATACAAATAACACTTGATTACTTGGATTTTAAAAGTCAAAACAAGTTCACTGCACACACACACACAGAAAATCCCACAGAAACACAGAATTGTTTCAGTAGAAATCTGTTGGTTAAATGACATGAGTCTCAATGGTAATTTAGTGATTAGGTAGCTCAGAGCAGGTGGGGAGGGATATCATCAAGACCTCTGTAGACAATGCACCTACTGTTATAATTTATTAAACTCAAGATTCCCTGTTTCTGTTAATAATCTGTGTATCTGTTAATGATTTTTTTAATGTTATTGGTGGAGATGTAGATTTGAAGCAACATCTGAAAATGTGGATGAAGAGCCTGTAGGTTCCACGTAGCATGGTGAAAAGGATGAGCTGTTAAATGTGCCCTCCTAGACTCTCCTACTTAGGCTGTCTGAGGTCTTTGTTCAAGCTCATGAAAATAAAGGTCAGAAGTTGCAGTGCTGTCCTGGTGCATCTACAGGAATTTTTCTTTCCTGTATGATTTAATGAATAGTAAGATCGTTAACAGAGTTGAAATACGATCCTTTTAATTAAGCTTCAGAGTGGGGTTTCTCACGACAACTGAGATCATTGCTGCAAAAAGGGTTTTTCAGCATTTCAGACTTCAGGAACTCATGTCCCACCTTCCTCCCAGGTTTCCAGTGCCCTGCTCAGAGCAGAGTGATTCAGGAATCAAAACGATGGGAAAACAATTTATTTTTTCTTTGGTAGGAGAATTAATCTTCTGCTAGTTCAGATCCATGGGTTAGCTCGCTGAAGAGGACCTGGTGAATGTCAAAATCAGTGCCCAAAGAGCAGTAACTTCTTGCAACCAGGAGCAGGAGGGGAGCTGGATTGCCTCTTTTAGAAGTGCCTGGACGTTTAGCTGGTTCCCCTCTGAAACATCATCTTTGCCAGCAAAATCTCATAGAAACCAACAGGAAGACATCTTTTACCTCAGAGATAATACCATAATGATAAGAAAGATTTTATCACTATATATTTAATTACTGTTTTTCCTGACTTACAGAAGGCGAAGTGAAGGCTAGAAGTCTGAGTTCTCTTTCCTGGGTCTTTTGGGTAGCAGGACACTTAGCCAGTTGGTGGTCACAGTGTCAGGCTATTTGTTATTTGGGGCGGCTGGAGGAGAAGTGCTACTTCTGTGAACACCAGTCTTCATCTTAGGAATCCATACACCTGCAAATACTCCTATATACCCCTACAGCTAAGCTGGAAGTAATGTCTGTAATGAAGGACATCAAACCTTATGTAGCCTCTCATACTTAACAAGAGAGAATACTATGGATTGTTAATATATAGATTTGACATAGAAGATTGTTATCAGATTCTTATAGGGCCAGTGTGAGTGTAGAGCACCTGTTGGAATATTTAAGTTACATGTTTTAGTAATTTAGATTTTGGAAACAAAAGTGCGACACTGTAATTGAAGATTGATTTGTATTTTTATACTACACTGTCTGTATAAATATTGTGATTTAAAAAGCAATGCAAATTTGCTCAGGCAATTATATTTATGCTTTTATTCTGTATGTGGTAGATACTTCTGTTTAAGACTATGCATTTTTTGCCGTCTTTTTATCTTTGGATCAATTTCTGGTCAAGTGAAATGATTTGCTCATGAGCTTTGCAGTAAACCTAATAGGAATACATATGTCTGTTACTTTTTCCCTTCTGATTCTCCTATACAGTCTTTCATGTGCAGTGTGTATTTGATATGAGGTACATTTGTTGTTGTGAACATGCCAAGAATATTAGTAGAGTTATAAATTGAAAGAAATGAATACATAGTAGTAGTATTTCCTCCTATTTTTGCTATATAAATTTTTTTCTCATCTATGCAGGAGGTTGCATCAACAATTTGAAAGCTATAAAGAACAAGTAAGAAAGATAGGGGAAGAAGCTCGCCGTTACCAGGGAGAGCACAAGGATGATGCTCCAACATGTGGAATCTGTCATAAAACAAAGTTTGCAGATGGTTGTGGCCATTTATGCTCTTATTGCCGGACCAAGTTTTGTGCTCGATGTGGAGGTCGTGTCTCTCTGCGATCAAACAATGTAAGTCTTCTGATGTGTACTCTTAAGTAAAAGCCTCCTTGACTTTGTCATGCTGCAGATTGTTCACCTTAAGTTTGTCATTTCATGCTTCATTTTACTTAGGTGTTTCATTCATCACTTCGTTATGATGTGTTTATAGAGTAGAATGTATTTAATGATTGTGGAGATACTTAAGATTCACAGAGTTAATAAAAAAACCCTAATCATAGTGTATAGTTCTACTGAGTGAAGGAAACGTACTTGTTTTTCACAGAATGAAAGAAACCCTTTTTCTCAAGTGCAAGCCCACATTGACAAATTCTTATTGAACTCTTACTTCATTTAAATTTTTTTTATAGAGCTTTTCATATATATTTATAGATTTCTCTTACATAAAATAAGTCAATTTTTTTGGTTAGAAAAAAGCCCCCAACCACTTTTCTTACCACAGTGAGAGTGTTACGTCAATTTATTTTAAATTTATTTTAAAAGTAAAACTATAGATTATTTTGGATTAGGTATCCTACTTTCAGGCAGATGAGAGAAATCTTTCTCTCTCTGATCTGTGTGCAGTTACCTGTAGCGGCTGTGCACAAAACTGAAGGTATTTGAGAATACTCTCTTTTGAGTCAGTTCCTTACAAGGAACTGGCTACATACTTGAGCATGAGTGGCAGGATCTATATTTGGAAGACCATTATTCAGTGATTATTTTTGGCTGATCCTCTAGGACTATGGTGTGTTATAAAATATTTTACAAATATTCTTTTATTGCATGAATAGTTTTGTTATCTATCATGAGATGAAGTAACTTTCTCATATGGCTTTAAGATGCCAGGCTTTTGTAGGGGTAATGTATCAGTGCTCTTTGTATCAATACAAATTCAGTTAAAAATGGTCATGAATTCTATATCAGATAATCATGTTCACAACAGAACTTGCCTTTTTACTTTCTTTGAGCTAAACATCAACTGAATAGGGCTTCTGAATTTTCATGTAAACCAAAAAGAAAATGCCTCAGAAAAAAATGCATCTCATCTTTATTTTGAAATTTTTCTGTATCCCTGATGTACTTCTGAATCCATTAAATTAAATTCACATTCTGAAAAAGCTATGCAGGTGTATTGGACAAAAATATTCATGTATTCATATTTTAATATAAATGGATGCATTGCATTGCGTCACCTGCAGGTGGTGTCATTAGAGCAAGTCTATGAAAATACTGTTTACTTTGATATGTTGCATACTATTCATTAGAGAGCATATGCTACAGCTTTTCTTTACTCAGAAAAAAATTTAATATATTTTAATTGGTTTTCACCCACTGTTTCAAGTCACAGGAATGGAGAAGTGTCCATTCATTTGTAACTTGCCTTTTGTTATATTGTTTGTGCTTCTGTGGGTTAGGGTGGGAAAGCATGTTTTCTACATATGCTGTAATGTCATCTTTTTTTTTTTAAAGCTCTTTTTTTTAATTAATTTTATGTTTTTATCTCTTTGTAGAGAGTTACTAGAATTGCATTTCTTTGAAAGCTGTCTATTAATACTTGCCTATTTTATTCTTTTTCTCTTCTTTCTTTCTTTTCTCTTTTTATTCTGCTTCCTTGGATGCTTTCCCAAAGGAGGACAAAGTGGTTAGAATCCATGCTTTTTATCATTTATTATTATTATGTTGTTAGTTAACTGGGAAACATATTAATATAAAAAACTGAACTGAAATTTTAAAATCGTCCAAAGGGGAGGGGGGAAGAACAGGAATCCTAACACCCAGGCCCTGCCCATCCTCTAGCTGAACATACGTGTTGAAGATAGCCCAGCAAGGAAATCCAAGACTTGTCAAAATTAGGAAAATAAAATAAGTTAATTAAGAACGGAGAATTATTAATAGACTAAAAAGTAGAGGAGATAATAAACAGTAATAAAACTTTATTTCATAAAAATGTCTTTGGTTAACAATTTGACTTTTTGCATGCAAGGTCGGTCAGCTTCAGGAAATCTAATTTAATATTTTACTTGTAATTTTGCATTGATTTACATGGTTTGCTGTGTTTCACTTTTGGCTGCAGCAGAAATCCAGGGAATACTTGTGAAATCAGGTTTTTGATTTCAATTTGGAGTAACATGCATAGGCAAAGTATGACCTCTTAAAACTGGACATAAATATAGCGAGCAAGATGAAGTGAATGCATAGTTTCCTTTGTCAGTGCATAGTTACCATTTCAAAAATATGCAGAACTTTTAGGATCAGGTACTGGCATATTCACCACGAATGCCTGTGCTTTATCTGAAATAGGTGAGGGTAGTTCCCAGTTCATTTCTGTGCCCTGTGAACAGAGGAAGAGGTGACAGTACTTGAGCAGAACAGTGCATGTCCACTTACCGCCTCTTAGTCACGTCAGCGAAAGGTGCGATTCCAGGTTTTAACTTGGAGACTTTGGTAGTGGGAATTAGCTGACTTCGGTGGCATTTCAGCTGAGACAAGTGTAAAGTATCCAATAATCCAATGTAGTTTTTGACATGTGGTTTTATGCTTACATAAATAAGTGGTGATATGCCCCAACTTATATCACAGCAAAGCTGTAACCTTCAGTTTAGTACTCTGCAACGCCCAGAGATTATTACTTATATCATACCTGCATATTGCAGTAGGTTTTTTCTAAGGCAGTAGTGTTCTGAGAGCATGGTTGTTTTTCCAATGGCTAAGAAATATAAGCTGCTACACCTTCATTCCACTGTTTTCTGTGTGGTACTCTGAACAAAGTGCTGAAATAAACTGGCACTTCCAGATTTTTTCCATGCTGTTAATCTAAATCACTTAGGATAGGGTGAGAGAAGTTTCAGCTTTATACTGATTTCTTACTAAAGCAGTGCATCATTCAGGCATCCCCTAGGGTGTATTAAAAGGCTAGTGCACTTGTAACAGCGTTTTTTTTTAAGGCCAGAAACAGCAAAGCTCTTAAGTGCTGAAAGTGCCACTTAGGTACAATTTAGCCACCTAGCTTTTGGACAGCAATCCAGGTGAACTTCACCTGACCTGCTTACATGCTTGAGGCATCCTTCACACTTCAGTTTGGAACAAAAACTTTGCCACATAACTGAAATTGTGATAGAGTCCGCACGCAGTAGAAATAGTGTCTTTGATGAAGTGACAGCTTAGGAGTTCATCTTTGAAAAATGTTATTTGGGATCCAGAAAATAGACTCCACTGCACTAAAGGTCCCTGAAGACATGTTCTGAAGACATACGTGACTCATTTAGATTGTCATAAATTCAATTAAATAGATCCTTATTGTTTGCACTTGCCTTGGTTCAGATTTTGCCGTGTTGAACTCCAAGCTTCCACATGCTAAGAGAATGCCCTACTAATATATGTGAAAACATTTTCTATACCTTTTGCCGAAGCTGAGCTACATCTCTTTAACAGCTGAAAAGTTACAGGAGTCAGAGGGAGAGTATCCAATAATTAGTCCTGATTGTGTGAGGAACATGGGGAACATTTTTATAAAGTACAATTGCTTTAGCAGTGCCTGTCTCTGAAAGCTAATGGAATATATAGAATGAATTGATTCCAAAATGTTAATACATACCTAGCAAATAACATCTTTTATAAGGAGGACAATTGATATAATTTATATAAAGCAACATGAGAAAAATACTATTTGTTACTTATTTTCAGTGACTCAACATTCCTGACTAATTTACATATAGGGACAAATCCTTCTTTATCTGGTAAGTTTAATATTAGTAAAGACTTTTAAAACATGTTTATATAAGCCTTGTTCTCTCCACATAAATTTTAGCCACAATATATTATATTAATATTAGAACACATGCACCAAGTTCCTACAAGTTAGGAGTGCATCAGTTGGAAAGGATGATGAAGTGTGAGTTACCAAAGTATCAAGCCCAGGAAAAGTCAAGCATTATCCTAGATTGAAGGTATTTCCTGTAGAGTTGGAGAATTAGTATTAATGAGACCTCACCTGGGATATTGTGTACCGTGTGTTACCTATCTTTGACAAATGCAAACTGTGATAGGCACAAAGTCATACAGAGGATGATCAAGGAAATGGAGAGCTGCTCATATGAGAGAAGACTAGGGAGTTAGGGGGACAAAAGCTAGAGCAATTATAATTGATAAGTACAGAATTGATATCTAGAAGTACAGTAATTTTAAACAATAAGAATAACCTTCAAACTAGAAGACAGTAAATACATAAGACCAGATGGGTATAACTTGGCCATAAATGCTCTTGGATTGTAAAAAGGTTTTTGTAGTCAGTAAAGTAAAGCCTTAGGAATTTTTTTCATGCGACTTATTGGAAGGAAAAATAATCCAATAAAATTTTAAAGGTTAAATTTGATAAGTTTAGGAAAGGATTTATGTGATATGGTTGCTTGTGGCTGTAGGGGAATGTGTTAGGTCCTTAAGAGGTCTCTTGCAACTGTTACTTCTAGCTAAAGATTTTTAAAATGGGGTATAGATAATGTAATACTTTGAAGCTGTTCTTGACCTTTTCAAGTAAGTACCAAATATGTTTTAAGGACTGTTTCAAAATATATAGGAGAAGTTAATATGTTCTGTCTTGATTTAAAATAATAATGAACATCTCAAAACAGTGATTCCTTGTAGGCATCCTAGGTTTATCAAGAGATGACTCCAGTACACTTACAAAATTAACTGGCAATAACTAGTACATACTAGTGGCTAATGAGGCACATAACTGTCAATGATTCTTATTCTGATGTGTCAAAACACATACCTAAATATCTGTCTTAAGTTCTTCCGTGTACTTTGAGTATTGTTAGCTCTTCGTACTTCTCACCTGAGCCTGCTCTCCTTTCATATGGTTGCAGACAGACCGCATTTAGTGGGAGCATTGTCAGATAAGAGGACTGTTAGCTAGTTTGGTTGTTCAAATCAGGCTTAAATGTAGTTATGCAGTGAGAGTATTCAGTGTTAATAATGTTAGTAATAATATCATTGAGTTTGAAAATAGTTGACAGACGTATGATGTACAGAAGAAATACAAGCATTTTCATTCATATTACCTTAGTATTCGGAAGCAGTGTTACTTGAATGTGGCGACCTATTCACTGTGAGCACTGAGCATTTGTATGTACTTTAAAAGAAAGCAGAATATTATTAGTACAGGACTTTACATGAGACAGCATTTCAGAAGGAAATCATGTGGGTGCTTAGAGAAAAGCTGTCAGGAGTGACCACTTGCTTTTAATTTGGCACAATGTTTTCTAGGTGTTGTCAGTTCCTTATACAGTGTCTACTCTCTTGATCTGAATCCTTCCAGTTCTGTTGCACACACCAGTATTTTAATTGCCAACATGGTAATGGGTTTAAGTCACTTCATCCCATTCACTCTCCCCTCTGATGTGAACTGTCGGGGTGGTTAGAGCAGTGGAGAAGCCAGCACAATGTCCCACTGGTGCTTCTCCGTGGTTTGGCAAGGAGAGAGCAGAGCCCCAGCTCAGTCCTCCCGCTGGCCTGGCTGCCACTGCTTGTCCTGTTCTTCCCTCCAGTGGTACCACAGCCTTGTCGAGCAAAAAGCACCTGAAAATATGGCTTTTTTTCCTTGCATCATTCCTGCAAAACTTTTTCCTAATATTTGGTTAAGTAATGCAAAAAGATGCATTTCCTTTGTAAGCTCCTGATACGTGAAGTCATACAGCTCTGTTTTTTTATCCTTATAGAAAAGGAGATACATTTTTGGGTACAAAAATAGTCTTGAATACACTAATGCAGTTTCTTTCAATCAAAATTAAAGTTTTTATGAGATGCTGTGGGTGTATTGAACCAAGTGAATTTTATATGACATTGAAAGAACTAGGTGGAAGATCCGTGTTCCAGATTAAGCCACATATTTATCTGTAGCAATCTGTCTACCATTCTACAGATTTTATCAAGATTACAATTTTTGATCAATTTTTAAGTGAAAAGGACTGGGAGCAAATGATGAAAAACAGTTTCGTCACCATTTCCCTGTGTTTTCCTGAAATATTAGCTGTGCAGGATAAAGCTGTTTGCTTACTCATTTTTCTGTTTACATATGCAGAGGATGACTGGGAGGAAATCAGGATGTAAAATACATTATCAATACATGAGAATTGATTTAACTGAACTTAGTATTATGTGACTGCAGAAAGTAATGTCAATTATCAGTGCTGAAATGCTAGAGATTGACATTTCTAATCTGACTTTCACTGAAATTGTTTTCATTTTAGTATGATGTCAATTATTTATACTCAGACAACTTGGAAACATTTCCCTAATTGTATGTCAGGTGTTTTTACAGGGTTCTTGTCATTTAGTTCCTTTAAATTTTGCTTACAATTTGCTTACATAATGGCGTGCTAATTTAAGCCTTACCGATTTGAGCACATATGCCATGCAATTCAGCTGTGTACTAATGGTTTTAACAGAAGTTGTTAATATTGTCAGAACAAAATGTCTGAATTATCAGGAGTGTTTTTACATCCCTTTCACAGAACTGTTATGTCAAATTGTTCGTTAAAAGGCTAATTTAGGTAAATTCTGAATAATACAGCTGTAGAACCAAAAAAAAAACCATCAGAAGGAGGTAAAATTACATAGCAAATTGTAAAGTGATAGATAAAT